AGTGACTGTAAGTTCGGCAGAGCTGGTAGTCAGAACGTGCTGATCATGGACCCCAGTTCTACAGGGACGATGCAGCGGATACAGAGTGAAAAGAGTATCCTGGATGAACCTGACTCTCCTCTTGAGGTTGGTCTCATGCACTGACTCAAAATGTACAGTTTTTAGTGTTTTTCATTAGCTTGCACTGCAGGTTAGAAAATGTTAACATTTATAAATTGTCTATTTTTATTTCAAAGGTCAAGGTATTAATGCATCATGTTTATAAGCAGTAGCTTTCTGTGGGAGACCATTTAAATGTCTCATGTTTCACTGTAAAGCTGCAGCATTCCTGTTCAGCACCATGGACAGCAACACTCAACACCAGTGAATACGTTTTCTGTGCATCTTTCGTCTTCGCTTCATTTGTTTATTGTGAAAGGAGCTGTTTCCTTCAGTGACATCAAACAACTCTTTTCTGATTACAACACTTAAATATTATATCAACAACGCTTCTTAAGTGTGATCATCAAAGCATTTATTTGGGAATATTAAAGTAGCATTTTAACAGCTCAATTTACTCCGTTTTTGTCTGTGGCTGATTTGACAGTGTGACTTAGTACTTTATTTCTTTATATTGCATGTAATTTGCTCAGTCAACTCAAAGGGTCGCTGTTGGCAAACGAGTTGCTGTATAACTACATGTTATATTTGTCTGTGTTCTGCCTCTTCGAGTGGATACGTTAGACACAATCAGAGAAAGGCAGAATGAGCAGTCTGCGCTCATAAAAGCCTTGACAAAGGTTTTACCGGACACTTTGCTGAGCATTGCATAGCTGGATTTTGGACGTATTTTCTTCTAGTTGTCGACTAATTTCACATCGATTGCAACGGGCACATTTTTCTTTGAATGATACAGGAAACGCAACGATGTCAGACAGAACAATGAGACGGCAAGTACTGTTGTTTCTCTCGGTCCTGTGTCTCAGCTACGTGGTCGGGCAGGTCAGCTACTCCATCCCCGAAGAAATGGCCAAAGGCTCTGTGGTTGGTAACATAGCGCACGATTTAGGTTTAGATCTTAAAAGGTTAAAATCAGGCAAAGCTCGAGTGTATACGGGCGGCGGTGCAGAGTACATCGGGCTGAATAAAGAACGGGGAGTCCTCCTTATACAAGAGAGGATAGACAGAGAGGCTTTATGTGGAGAGACGACGCCTTGTGCTTTACATTTCCAGTTAATTCTGGAAAATCCAATGGAGTTGTTCCGTGTTACTGTGGAAATAACAGATATAAACGACAATACTCCTAGTTTTACAAACGCAGAAAAACGCTTTGAAATTAGCGAGTCCGCTGTGATAGGATCGAAATTCGTATTAGAGAAAGCTATTGATTCCGACATCGGTGTAAATGGATTACAACATTACGCCCTCACTCCAACAGATAACTTTGCATTGAAACTAGAAAACCAGGCAGACGGGAGTAAAAAGGCAGAGATGGTGCTGCAGAAGCCTCTGGATCGAGAGAAGCAGAATCGCATTTCCTTGTTACTCACTGCAATAGATGGAGGGGAGCCGCAGATGTCAGGGACAATGCAGATATTTATCAATGTGTTGGATGCGAACGACAACGCACCCACATTTACTAAACCGCTGTACAGAGCAAAAATACCAGAGAATTCTCCAAAAGGCACCAGCGTAACGACTGTCAGTGCCTCTGATAAAGACATTGGCTCGTACGGAGAAGTATCATATCTGATATCTCCCAGCAAACGGCTTTTATATGAATTATTTAAGATCGACTCGAAGAGTGGTGAAATTGTCCTAATCGGTGAAATAGATTATGAAAAAGCAAATGTATATCAGATCGATATTGAGGTTACAGACAGCGGGGGACTCTCTGATTCCACTAAGGTGATAGTTGACGTTATTGATATAAATGACAATAATCCTCACATAAACATTGTTTCTAAATCAGAATCTATTCTTGAGGATTCGCCTCCAAATACTGTGATTGCAATGTTGAGCATAAGTGACCCAGATTCGGAGAATAATGGAAAAGTGCAGTGTAACATAGACAATAGCATTCCTTTCAAAATACAAACAACACTAAATGGATTTTATACCTTGATTACAGAGGTCGCTTTAGACAGAGAGCTCGCGTCTCGATATAACATCACAGTGACCTGCTCTGATGAGGGAGTGCCCTCCCTCTCCAGCAGCGTCACTCTCACCTTACAGATCTCTGACGTGAATGACAACGCGCCTGTCTTTGAGAGGA